ACACACACACACACAAGAAGAGACTGTATTATGCACATTAGTTTTGCTAATGTAAGATATAATTAAAGATTAAAGGTCAGGGATGTAGGTCAGTGGTGCCACCGTCTGTCTCAAAAGTGCAAGGACCCAAGTTCAATCCCCAGTACCAAAAAAAAAAAGATATAATAAAAGATTAAAATGTATATAAATGATTCTATAAAGTATAACACAATTATGAGTTGCAGAAAATGAAACTTTTTTAACAAGCATGGTGGTGTACACCTATAATCCTAGAACTCAGGAGGCTAAGGCAGAAGGACTGTCACAAATTCAAGGTCATCCTGAACTACATAATGAGACCCTGACTCAAAAAAACAAAAGAAAAAGAAACTTTCTATGAATCTTGCAAGGTTCTACAATCAAAAAAAAAAATTTTTTTTTGAGACAGTCTCGCTATGTATTTCAGGCTAGCCTTGAACTCACTATGTATTCCAGGCTGGCCTCAAACTCACGGCAATCCTCCTGTCTCAGCCTCCTAAGTGTTATGATTACAAGTATACACCACATCTAGCCAGTCAAGTCTTTTTTTTCAAACAATCTTGCAATAATAATCTTTATCTGGGGATGTTTCAAGCTGGTCTATCTGTATCTAATACATCATTATCAAAGAATATAGTTTTTCACTTTTTCATTACATAGCCAAATTTTACATAGCCTTTGATAAGTCACCCAGCTGCCCTTTAACTTGTCATAATGGTTTTGCCTTAGCCTCACAAGTAGCTGTGTTTACCATAATCACAAGTACCACTACATTCAGCTGCTTAACCTCACCTGATGATCCACAAATATCAGTTAAAAGCTACCAAATATTTTATAATGTTAAACTATTTTATTGTCAAATTCTCAGGCTGTCCTTTATTACAGCAAGTGATTTTCTTGCCTAACCTGTCAAGAGTTCCTTTATCAATATTTTTTATTTATAGTACTCTTCTACCTCCTCAGCAGGTTTTAATCTATTATATACTAAGAGCCAGCTAACCAAGATAATTTTATACTTGATTCATGGAGGGTAAGCTGTCAGTTTCACGTGATCTTTTTTCTGGAAAAACATTCACAGTTTTGATAATTACCTACCCTCACTAATCACAAGACTTTTGTAAACCTCACTCAGCCCTATGCCAGAGATGTCACAAGTCCAGAAGAGAAAAGGTGTTAAAAGAGTTGAGAATTCTTAACATTACAAAAATTTACAATCACTGCAATAATAAAACCAAAAGATTTTATGAAGGTAAGTAAAATTTCTTACCATAAGCATTATGGGCTCACAAACTCTTTTCTTAAATTTGTCTCTGTTACTTCTCAGCCATAAAACAGCTTCATATGTGTCCCGGTATCTCTGTCTCAGCTTATCTTCTTTCTGATTCATAAGATTGTCAAAACGTATAATATGCTCACCCACACCTAAAATTGGAAAGTGAGTATTGTTTCTCTGAAAACTTTAAGTGAGGAAACAATCTATTAACAACAGAAAAAATTACCCTAGATCTAAATGTTACAAATACTACTTAGCAAATACTCAAGGTAGTGGAAAAGACTTGGTCCAGATTAATCATTCTAAGATTTCCTAATACCAAGGATAATAAAATGTTCTTGACTCTACTGAAAATAAAAAACAAGTCACCTACAAAATAATGAGAAAAGTACTAGCTTTCCTATCAGAAGACAGCAGCAAGAGGCCTTCAAAATTCTCAGGTAAGCCAGGCATGGTGGTGTAGGCCTATAATCCCAGCTGGGAGGCTGAGCCAAGAGAATCACAAATTCAAGCACAGCTTTGGAAACTTAGTAACTTAGTAAGACCCTGTTTCAAAATAAAAAATAAAAAGGACTAGAGATATAGCTTAGTGTGCAGGACCTGGGTTCAATGTCTACTACTGAAAAAAAAATTATGAAAGAAAAATTACCTTTCAACACAGAGTTATACACATAACAAAATTAAGAACAGGGGACAATGAAATATATTTTCAAGGGTGCGATTAACTAATGAAATTAATTCTCAGGCATCTTTTCTTGGGTTATCTAAAAATGTCTACTAACAAAATAAAGGAATAGCCAGGAATTTAGCTCAGTGGTGCCACTGCCTCACAAGTGCAAGGTCCTGTGTTCCATCTCCGGTACCAAAAAAAAAAGCAAAAAGGGAAGACATGGAATTCAGGAATAGTTTTATTCAACACAAGTAAAGTGTGAGAAAAATCCCAGATGACAACCAGGTAAGAAGCCTTAAGAACAATCAGTTTAAATGGAAGGCCACAGAATTCCAGAGAATGCCTGATAAGTCTCCCCCACCCTTCTTTTTCTTCAATTTAGGAAAATGTTAAAGCAAACAGTGTTTTTTAAAAAAATAATTAAAATCTTATAAAAATTTTCAATAAGAGAAAATTTTATAATTATATTACTTGGTTTGACTACAAAAAAATTTTGTTGTTGCAATAAACAATATGCAGCATTCTAAAATAGAATTAATACATTCCCACTGGCTTGAACCCCCGGTGATACCTGCATGTCTGTCACATTGGGCAGCTTGTATCACCTGAATGACGGCACTATGCTGCCCAATGAAACAGTCATATACGAACCACTGGTGGTCAGCTGGCTGGCAGCAAGACATGAATTAAGGCCCTGTGGAGCACATCAAACAATTATAGTTCTCAATAAAACACAGACGTTTTTACCTTTGAAAATACAAAAGCCAGAGTACAAATGAGAAAATCTGAATAGGAGAAGAATGGGAGTGATATAGGACAGTTTAGCTTACAAAGTATACGCTCAATACTGACAATCGTTAAATGACACAAAAAAGATATCATTTATAATAAAAATCAGTATTATTAATATAATCATCTAATTTGACACTAACAGGGAGACAGGTTATTATAAGCTAAAATTGACATTTGGAATAAAAATGCAAAGATGATGTCTAAAATTGATTAATCAAGCAAGAGTGAAGAGAATGATGAACACATGTAGAACAACTGCTAAAAAATTAAAAGTGATTACTCTTGAGAATAGGCCTGGAGGTTGGAAAGGGGTTCTACCACCTTTCTCTTCTAGTTCTTTTTGAGCTACAAGGACACATCTAGAACTTCAATAAACACACAATGGTATTTTTAGTATTAATCATATATATTGAACAGACAAAATGAGATCTCACCTTCCCAAATAATGCTATCAATCTATAAACAAGATCTACACAATAAAGAAAAAGCAAATACGAAATTAGATTTCTAAAGGCAAACCTAATGGTTATCAGGCTAGGATAGTTTAAATCTCACCTGTGACTCTAAAGAAAATAAAGATAAGCATTTTTAGACACTTACATGCTGTAAATGGACTTAAGACAATGATCAGCTGGTGGCAAATCATGGTACACAATAGCTATAGCTAATTAAGGCAGAACACTGAAAGAACTGAATTAAGCTTCCTCCACAAGGAGACTTGAACAGTTTAAAGCAATGAGTACTAGGAGAAGAAAGCCACCAACAGATTATACGTGTCTATCTTACAGACAGTTCTTCACCCTAAGAAAACTTACACTTTTTCTCTTTCTCTAGCGTTTCCTTCTCCCTTTGTTTATCAATTATCTCGCCTTCACATAATGCCTTTTCATCTTGAACTCGTCTCAGGTCATGGGTAATGGCATCGATCTGAGGCTGAAGATTCTCACAGTTTTCTGTAGTCCTTAGTTCATTATGTAAATCCTCTATCATTTTGCGAGTATTACTTATTCTCTTCTGTCGGTCTTGCTCTTCATTCTGTTTTACCGTTAAAGCTTGCTGAAGTTCCTCAATCTATTAAAATAAAAGTAGGTTAGTACTTCAGGCTGTTTTTTCTCCTGGTTTACAAAGCATTCATAGAAAAAAGACGCATGGGGCTGGAGGTGCAGCTCAATGTAGAGCACTTGTCTAACATGAATAAGGCCCTGGGTTTGACCAGAAGCACTACAGCTTCAACAAGGAGGGGAGAGGAGAAGACAAGAGAGCAAACAAGCAAAGATCAGGGGTGTTTTCCCCACTAAAAGGTAATCTGCTATCATTAGACTACCAGATTACCAGTCCTACTAGACTACCCGTGTCTTTATTGTTCTCTAATATACTCCAACTATAGTACCTAGAGAAGTACATATAAAGCTCATTAAATACTTGCTAAATAAAGCCAAACATATTTCTAAACAGAGGTAATACCTACTACAATCATATGAGTGAAATTAAGTCACATGATATAATAATTTCAATAAATAGAAATGTAATTCAAATGTAAGTCATTTTAATTTTAAACTAGAATAAGATCTCTGACAAAATTTTTTCAAGAAACATTTCACGTTAATATTGTGAGATTTTAATCATCAGTCTTTACAACTAAAACTTCCAACTTACAATCTATGTAAATTAATTTTTAAAAGCCAGAAATTATGTCAGTGGAATTTTTATCAAAACTAGTTATGATTTTCTTAAAGACAGATGTACATGCACACACAGATATAATTCAATTCCTCTGTAACTAGAATTTGGTATTAAAATAAGTAAGGCTAAGACTTTATACAATCTGTTTATTAGCTGGCTTTATTTCTTTTTTTTTTTTCCTCATTGAATTTATTGGTACATTTTAGGTGTACAGTACAGTTACATTCATCATTGGGATCTTGTACCTTTCCATGACAGGTCTTCGTTCTCATTTTTTCCCCTTACCCTTGCCCTCCCTTCACCCCCTCCTCCTTTCCTATTTACAAACACTTTATTTCCTTTTTTTAAATTTTCTCATATTTTTTTCTTTTCCCTTATTTCCTTTCCCCTACCATTCCCATTTCCCCTACACCCTTTTAGCCCTTTTCTTTCTATTTCACACTGTCAATTATACCATTAGGATCTTATTACGATTACGTTTTTTTACACCAGAGAAACTAACTGGCTTTATTTCTAAGTCACATTTACTCCTTCCTCTTCCACAGTATAACACATTCATTATAAAAATATGGAAAAATAACTTACAATCTGAAGGTCCTTAAACGTCTACATTTTAATGTCTGCTAGTGTATTTATAGAACATATTATTTCTATTAAATGGCACAATTAAAAATTTGTGAGCTATTTCTATTTCCCATGTTCCTGCAAAATGAAATCATAACCTATATAACATCCTGATATATGAATATATTACTATCCTATTCCTTATTTTTGGAAATTTGAAGTGGTATTAGTTTTGTTTTGTTTTGTTTTGTTTTAGTAAAACTTTAGCTTTGGCAATATCAAGATAATGAACAGAGCATATGCCCAGTTTACCTCTCCTATACCAAAGACCAAAATGAAAGAAAATGTACTTGAAAAACTAAGG